ATTATCTTCTGTGTCTGTGTTAATTGGTTTCCCTTTTCTTTGTTGAAGAGGGTCTGTGCAATCCTTCTGCCTAGTCCGCCATCTTGCCCCGCCTCCCGGCTCTTCTTTTTTGATGTGTACATTTATTGCTATAAACAGGCCTCTGATCACTGCTTTTTCTGTGTCCCAAAGATTTTGGTATGTTATGTTTACATTCTCATTTGATTCAAGGAATTTTTGAATTTCAATTTTTATTTCTTCTCTTACCCAGTCTTTCTTAAGGAGGGCGTTGTTCAGTTTCCACGTGTTTTCTCTTTTTCTGTTGCCCTTCCTTTTGTTCATTTCTAATTTGATAGCATTGTTATCGGAGTACTGCTTTGCAGTATTTTCAGTGTTTTTAAATTTATTAAGGCTTGCTTTATGGCCTAACATATTGTCGATCCTGAAGAATGTTCCATGTGCACTGGAAAAGAAAGTATCTTGTGCTGTTTTGGGGTGAAGTGCTCTGTAGATGTTTGTAAGGTCAAGTTGGTGGATTGTATTCCTTAGCTTTTCTGCATCTTTGGTGAGTTTCTTTCCAGTTGTTTTATCTTTCATTGAAAGTGGTGTATTAAAGTCTCCTACTATAACTGTGGAGTAATCTATTTGCCTTTTCAACTCTTTTAAAGTCTGATTTATGTATTTTGGGGCTTTTCCATTAGGTCCACAGATATTTATTATGGTTATACCTTCTTGTTCAATTGATCCTTTAATCATTATATAATGTCCCTCCTTGTCTCATTTGGTGGTTTTTGTCCTAAAGTAAATTTGATCAGAAATTAATATTTCCACTACTGCTCTATTTTGGTTGTCATTTGCTTGATATATCTTTTTCCACCCTTTGATTTTTAGTCTATTTTTGTCTTTGTCTCTAAGGTATGTCTCTTATATAAGACAGTATATTGATGGGTTATGTTTTCTTACCAGTCTGCAACTCTCCATCTCTTGAGTGGTGCATTTAATTCATTGACATTCAGTATAATTACCAACAAGTATGAATTGGTTGCTGTTATTTTGTTATGTGTTTTTTCATGGTGTCCCTTTTTTCTTTGTTCCATATAATTTTCTGTGCTGAGCTCATTATGTTTTTTAATTGTGTTATCATTTCTTTTGTTGCTATTGTTTTAGTATTTGCTAATACTAAAATATTTTTGCTGGTCTTCTTTTTTATTGTGATGTGAAGGTTTATCATTTTGCTTTGAGGTTACTCTGTGATTTATAATTTTCTCCCCAAGTTTAGAATAGCCCATTCTATCTTTCAACTCTCTTGACTTCCTCACCATTTAGAAGTTCTGTAACTACACTGTTTTTCCCCTTTTTGGTTTGTAGTTGTCCTCCTTTGCCAGTTGATGTCTCTTCTTCCTTGTTTACAATCTTGTAAGCTTATTGTACTTTGGATATTTCTATACCTGTGTTGGTTTCTGGGTTATGTCATTTTGTGTATTAAACATCGTTGGTTGTTAGCTATTAGAGGTTCTCTGTTCAGAGGATTTCTTTTAGTATCTCCTGTAAAGTTGGTCTGGTTTAGCAAATTCCCTTAATTTCTGTTTATCTGGAAATCTCCTAATTTCACCATCAGATTTGAGGGACAGTTTTGCCAGGTATATAATTCTTGCTTGGAATTTTTTCTCTTTCAGTATTTTATATATCATCCCATTGCCTTCTTGCTTGCATGGTTTCTACTGAGAAACCAGAGCTGATTCTTTGTTTGTCTTTGGTTTTGCTGAGTCTGATGATGATGCATCTTGGTGATTTTCTTTTGGCATTTAACCTGTTTCATGTTTGTTGGACTGCCTGAATGGATATATTCTCATCATTCATCATATTAGGGAAGTTCTCTTCCAACAAATCTTGGACAATTTTCTCAGTGATTTTCTTTTTCTCTTCCTATTCT